CATCTATAAAAGCTACTGAAATCCAGAATATTCATCACATAAGTGACTGTAACACGTTTCTTCATTTTTTCTGATGACTTTGTTGGCCTTAGCACATTGTCAGCTTTGTTGGACCTCACTACCTGTCTACAGGAATATTTTAATTTTCAGAGAGATTCCTGTACTTGTCATAGTCATTAACATGTAAATACATCTCATAAAGCACTGAAATGAACTAATAGTTACAGCTTTTCCAGCCATTAACACGTGTGATAGTTAAGCCTGATTACGAACTTCACCTCATTGGCAACATATTTCTGTGGGTCTCTGTATTTCTCTGCCTGCTCTGAGCTGCACTAACTTGGGAGTCTATAAAGCTAAAATCTAATTAATTAAAGAGCAGCACTAGTGCTTGCACTGTGCTTAAATGTGCCAGGGAGCATTTTTTTCCAATTCTCAAATAAATTTGCTTATTGAAAATACCATGCTAGAAATAGGAGTCTCTGACTTTGAGAGATGTCCTGGAATTTAACAGCCCATTATTTTTATATGGGCAATTTATTGCAGTCAGAAGTGATACAGTTCATGGAAAGCGGGTGGATGGATGGCTGAATCATTCCATCACCTGTCATGACTCATTCCCATCATTTCCGTCTCCTCACAAAGGGTGCATAAACATGTCTGCAGACTTAACCATGGCCCAGAGCATCTCATTAAAACATTGCCTCGGTTAGGGTCAGAAAAAAGGTTATGTAGCCCCATGACTTGATTAGGAGAGGGGTTGAATCTTGACTGCTTCATTCAGAGGAGAGTGTCCAAACCAAAAGCTCACCAAAGGACTTCTGCTTGGGCTTTTCCTTGAGTTTCTCACCTTTGCAATTCCACATATATGATTTCTTCAGGAATTTCATAGACCAGTTTGGTCTGGCTGCTCTGTTCCTCGAGTTCTGCCTGCTTTCAAGGGTCCCCTCATTCTCTGGATGATACTGGATATGATGACCTTTTTGCTGGTAGTTTGGGGTCAAAATATGCTGACGTAGCCTCTTCTCTAGATCCAATGAGATGTTTTGGTGATATTGAGCCAGATGACTCCTGTTGGAGCTGTCAGACAGAGAAGTTAGTACACACTTCATGTATATTCTGTCCTCCTTCCTCAACATTCTCCCATAGGGTGAACAGGGCAAACCCTTTTGTGGCTTGGTTTAATCCACCTTCAAAGTGTGCTCGGAGGGTTTAGCCAGCCTGTTCCTCCCAGCAAGAGCTCTCTCGACCCAAGCTCTGAGCTGACCTGCTGTGAGCTGACCTGGCCAAACGCCACGTGGCCAGAGTTAACTCGAGCAGAATTTATTAGCTTGCAGAGGGCACTGCATAATCCAGTTACACAATTTCACTTTTGGAGCTGGCTTGTGTCTGGCTGTGTTGGAAGATGGGTAAATGTCTCTGGAAAATTATTTATTATTATTTCTTAACAATGAAATCTTGTTATTTGCTTGCTGTAATGGCTGAGAAATCTAATCACTGATTAAGCTTGCACTAGGGTAGGGATACTTCAAACAGAGCAGCAGAAATACAGTGTGTGTCCAAAGGAATTTATAATGTGGATGTCACACACTCTCAATAGCAAGGGAGCTCCAGGCTGAGCCCAGCAGTGATAAGCTCATGCATCTGTGTGCTTGGTGAAGGAAACACAGTGCCAGGGGGGAAATGAAGGCATTTTGTGCCTCTGAGTAGGGCTGGGACACTCAGTGGGTGCTCCCTGAGATGGATAAAGACCCTGGGACTTCATCCCTGGAGTGCATCAAGGATGAGCAGCTTTGAGTTCGCCAGCCCTTGGCCTCTGGTGGAGATCACAAAACATGAGCAATCTCTGTCCTGTGTCTTCCCCAGGTCTGTGCCTTGCAGACATCACCTCAGCAATTGTTGCTGGCTCTTCCTGAGCTGAATCCTTGGCTTCCTGAGCTTCATCCCTGGCTCTGCGTGGCGATGTGACGTAACCGTGCAGCACGGCCCCTTTATTGCCCTGAGAGCATAATGCCCCATTATTCTCTAGACATGGGTAGGGGGAAACAGCTGTTTTACTGATTAAGTAAATAAAAGCATGACTCTCCAGCCCTCCTCCCTCGTCCAGCACACGGAAATCTGCCCAGGCTCTGCGCATCGTCACCATCCACTCAGCTCCTTGCCCCCAGTGCCATGAGAGCAGGCAGTGCCTGCAGCTGGCAGCCTGCCCTCACCTTTGCTCACTCTGCTCCAAGTGGTTTTGTGAGTCAGGCACTTTGCTTTCGCACAGAAACCCATATTCCATCCTGCCTTTCCATTTGCTCATGCCCCTCTGCTGCCAAAGTAACCACGGCAGGGCCGGCATGGGGGGGTGCAGGGGAGGGGAGCTGCCTTGCCAATCTCTCATTAATTTCGAGATGCAGAATGATGGGGGTGATGCATGTGAGAGTCTAATAATAATGACCCGAGGTCCCAGGCATGGCGAGCAAGGCAAACTTCTTTAACTAACAACTTAATTATAATAAATTTGAGTCTGAGAGCACCAGGCAAGTAAATCAATCAACCCTTGCAGGCGGGCTCATTAAAACTAGCAAAGTACAGACCATAAAGGTCATCTTATTAAAAGGGATTAGCATTTTCCAGTTAAATCCTTTGCTGCCCATAGGTGCTAGGAGAGAATGTGCATTCTGAGGTTCTCTGTTGTTGCAGTGGTAAAGGGCTGCCCCTGCACAGCAGTAAATGCCTGCAGTCCCCATGGTCAGGCTCTTGGCTGCCAGTGCCAGTGGGCAAGGCTGGATTAATGCTGGTGGATCTCTGCCAGTCTGGCCCAGCTCTGGGTTGCCAACTGTCCCGTGGAGCAAGTGAAACACGATCAGGGCTGAGGTCTTTCTTGCAAAATACGAGTCAGCTTGCTCTCCAGGCTTTTCTCTAGTCCTCTCTTACAGACTGAGACATCACCTCAGTAATTGTTGTTGGCTCTTCTTCCAATGACTCTTCCCTGGCTGTGTGGGATGTCTCTTCTCCTGTCAGGTCTTAATATATTGTAGCCCTCAAGCAGCATTTTCTATCTTTGCCTTTCTTTCCTGGCTGTGTGGTATGGTATTTTGGGTTTTCTAGTGCTTTGAGAGGCAAATTTTCACAGGCCCAATTATGATCTTGTTCCTTTAGGAGAGTATATTTACCTTGGAGGAAACATTAAACTGAGAACAGCTATCAAAACAGCTGGCATCCTTCTTCCTGTTTTCCTCTTCTGTCAGATGCAGTGTTGATGGCAGGAGAGGCAGTTTTTTTCCCTTTCTAAACTTTCCTCTGCCTACACTTGCATTCCAGTGATGACCCTCTGTCTGTGCAGCACCACTCAGTGCTCTTGTGGAAACGTGGAATGAAAATTGCAGTGTTTTCTGTGGATCCTGGAGCAGTGGGGCTTGCAGGGGATGATGCTGGACAGGTCTTTCCTGCTCCTGCATTGCATTTTGGATGGAAACTGAATTTTTGGAGGAAAAGAGAAGTGTCTCACAAGAGTGTCTGTCAGTGGTTGAGTAAAATATCTAAGTTAAGAGGATTTTTTTCCATGGAGAGACAATTGCAGTTAGGAAGGTGGGCTACATACCACCCTATGCTGCATTCCCACAGCTCTGCCCCTCTAACCCCCTTCTTGATGACTTATCTCTCCCATTTGGTGAGTGTTCCATTTTGGACACTGCCCAGTGCTAGCAGCTCACTCAGCTGGTGAGGAGAGTGGCCACATGGGCTCAGGCTGGATGTGACAGGCACAGGTCATGGCACACTTCCCTCAGCTCCTGCTGTGCCCAGGCAGCACTTTAACTGCACAGCAGTTTACAAATAACTGCACTTCATAGGATGGAAGTGCCCCTGCACTATATTTGATCATTTCCAAAGGTCTTTTTCTTTTAAGCCCTGGGAGGCCTCGAGGGCATGTAGGAAATTAAGCAGAGCCTTGCAGCAGTTCAGGAGTTCATTCAGAACAAGGAGTTATGTGTTGGAAAATATGGTGGGAGAGGTAAGGATGAGAAAAAGCGGAACATCTCTTTTATCCCACTAGGCTTCCCTTTTGCATAGGAAGTACTGAGGGTTTTTCCTGCTCTGCTTGGCCCATCAGCAGAACATATCACAGAGAGCTACAGGCTGCCTGGGGGAGGAAAAAAAAAGAAGAAAATACTTATTTTCTAGTGTGTTTCCAGTCAGCCATCACTGTGCTGCTTGATGATCTCGTTCTATATCTCTGTAATAGCAAAAAACTGCTGAGCAAAATAAATGGATTTTGAGATTGCCTTTGACAGGGAAGTGCTGGGAAGTGGAAGGTGTCTACCAGTCTGTGCTCCCTCAGCAGCTCCAAGAGCTTCCTGGGGAGCCTTGGCATAATTGTCACTTAATTTTTCTTCATCAGGCTTATGATGTGGAGTGTGTAGTACTTAACACTGTGCATATCAGCTAAGTTGCTTAGGTGGAAGGCCCTGCTGACTACACAAATATATTTCAGCTTAGCTCAAGAACTCAGCCTTCCCTGTTGCAAGAGAGTGCAGAGTTTGGAGCTACTTTCATGCCTTTGCCTTCAGGCACCTTCAGCTTCACACAGCCCTTGAATGTCTGACTGGCATTAGCTTTGCATGGTTTTGTCTTGAGAAGGAGTTTCCACAAAAGAGGAAAAGCCCTTTGTGCTCCCCATCCCTAGCAATCTTTCCTACTTCCACTGGGGCAGGGACAAATTCAGGACAGACCTAGTTCCATTGTCACTGTATAAGTTCTGCCTGCCAGTGTGATCAATGCAGGATTCAAAATAATACAGTTTAATCGGAGCACTGTAGAAAATACGTATTCTTGGTTCTCTTGTTTCCTCAAATTTTCCACTCACTGCCTCCCCTTCACATTCCCTCAGCCTTTGCCCAGAATTCACCTCAACCCACAGGCTTCTTCTATTTTTTCCTTTTTTTTTTTTTTTTTCCTGGGAGGGGAGGGGTTAAAACAATAAATATATTGGTTCCTGTTTTTCCTCTCTGCAGCTCCTGAGCTCCAGCTGGGTGCAGACATGGAATAGTAACAAGTCCATGGGAAAAGCTCATCTTCTCACAGCCCTTGCAGCAGCACTCTGAGCTCAGTGTGAACTTCCCAGAGCACAGAGGCAGAGCTGAAACCCTCACTGATGCTGCCAGGAACTTTCTGCAGGGATTAAAGCAATAGGGTGGAGCTGAAGTGTGTGTGAACCCAAACTGGATTCCAGGTGTGTATGAGGAACAGTGCACTTGGTCTTCAGCTGAATTTAAAATATGTATATATACACTTATATAACCTGTGGCCATTGGTAGTTAGCTGTTTATAATCCAGAGACACACCAGAACCTTCCAGACCCTGAAGGAAAGCACATTTCTGGTGTAAGAGACAAACAGGAGGCAGCAAGATCCAGACACATAACGATAACTTGGTTTTGCTTTTGTTCTTTCACAGCTGGTGCTCTGCTTCCATGAACTGTAGTCCTGCTAAACACTTTCTGTTCCTCAATAATTCCTGATGGGACAGAGGGAATTCTGCATCCTTGCAGATGGATATGTTTGCTCAGATTGATGTTCAGCCTAGAGAATGGCAAGAGGGGACAGACTCACCCCTGCACGAAGGCTGGCATGGTGCAGGCAGCCTGGGTGGTCTCAGCTGGGTGCAATCCCATTTCCATTTCCCTTTGGCTCTGTGTGTGCTCACGGAGAGCTCAGTTGTCATTGCTATTATGTCATTTCATTATAATAACCCAACTGCTGTCTCAAAGCCCAGTTCTAACCTGGTGTTAGGGAATGCCAGTTCCTGGGAGGTCTCCAGTGTGTTGTGCATGGCTTATCTCCTGGGGATGCAGCAGGAAGGAACATCCAGGTGCTGGCAAAGCTGTGGCAGGGGGACTCACCAGGTTGGCACAGGTGTGTTGGCACTGCAAGGTGACAGGGTGACCTTACGTGGTAGAGCTGCTGGGCTTTTGTTTTGCTAAAGGTGGTAAAACTCAGAGTCAAAAGTACTGAAACTGGAGCAGGTAGAGATGAAAAAGCACTGATGGATGTTTGTTATGTCAGCTTAACTGGGGTGGAAGTGCCAGGAAGGCAAAGGAAATGAAATGCCCCAAATTGTGCTTGATGTCACTTAACACTGCACTCCTTGCAGTCACTTTGAATAAACACAAGACATTTCTCTATTTTCGTGCATTCTTTGTGGAGAAAAATAAAGGAAAAAAAATGAGAGAGCAGCAAGACAGTCTGTACTTCCCCTACCCCTCGCCAAGCAGTAGAGAGCAGTGGGAAACAGTTAGCAAAGGTGTCAGATTTTCTCTAAGGGCAGTCACAAGGCTCTTGTGCCAAACACTATTTGACATTTAATTTAAGACCCATGTAAAGTAACAGCCAGGGCAGGCAGCAGGCAGAGTGTTCCAGTTGACAGGCTGGCTCTATTTGCTTTAATTTCCTTAGTGCGATGGCCAAGTTTATCTGTGAGTGAGAAATACTCAGAGTATTATTTTTTTTTGTTAGCCCATGATGAAAAGAGAGCACTGTGCTGTGCTCAGACACCGTTCTGGGCTTCAGGTGGCCCTCATTAGGGAACATAATGCAAGAGAGCTGTGCGTCAGCGCCGGAGGAGCCAAAGAAAGTTGTGCCTCTTTGATTAAATTCTGCTGAAGTCAAACACTCTGTTCCTGGGCTGAACTGAGCCATTCAGCCGGGTTAAAGGTGCAGAGAGGGGATATGTGTGTGGAGCTCTGCAGCCTCACAGCCAGGAGCTGTAAGGAGAGCAGGGGGAACTTTCTCTTTCCTTAAAAGTTGTGCCAGAAGCACTCAGAGCAGAGGGGTTTGCGTGAGGATGTGTCCTGTACACCTGAAGAGGGACCATCCACAGCACCTTGAGGTGCTGGTCTAGAAAAAGATGTCTCTGCCCATAGCAGAAGGTTGGAATGAGATGATCTCTGAGGTTCCTTCCAACCCAAACCTTTCTATGCTTCTGCTCTATGTGGTTTCTGCTAGAAGCCCATGCATAGGGAAGGAAAGGCCAAGGATGCTGAGGGGAAGATTGCAAAGGGTTTTTTGCGTTCTAGTTTCTTTAGTTTTCCTGATGGAGCTGAGAAAAATGATCTAGTGTGCTGCTGAGGAGATGAGATGGGAATAAAACCTACCTGGAATGTGTGTAGGGAGTGGTGGGAGTTGGTCTGAGGGCTGTGTGAGGAGGGGAGCAGTAGTGGAACTGGGCTCGCTGTGTAGATAATACTGGAAAAGGGGAAATGTTGCAAGGTGCATGTAGAAACGAGTCAGGAAATGTATTACTTGAATTTATTTTTTTTTTAAAGAAAATAAATGTGTTTAGTCAACAGCATGAAGTATGGTACCTCCAAGGGTACCTATTTGGTGATAGAAATATGGAATAACGTTAACCACTGAAGTAAGGAGTATCAGGGGAGGAAAGTCTGTGAAAAGTTTTTCGAATTGAAGACCAAAAGCAACTGCAGAATATGAAGCAATGGCAGAAGGGTTCCCCAGGCAGTGGGACAGAGAGAGCAGCCTGCAGGCAGCACTGGCTGGGTGGAGGAGCACTTGGCTGCTTTTCCAAGGTCATTAGGAAGTCTAGACTTTCCCATAAAAGGGTCCCATTTGCTGGAGAATCCTTGGGCTACCACTGCCCTGAGGGCTTCCCAGAGAACTTAAAGGCAGCCAGAACAGCCTGACTAGACTGAGGCACCTTTCCTGGTTTTTCTGTGTGTATGGACCTTGGAAGACAACTTTGGGGCAGCCTGGCAGGAACGATTTCCATGGAACATGCAGCCTGTCCCAGCAGAAGGCTGGCCCATCTGGTGGCTGGGACACTGCAGTTCCAGACTGGCTGGGTTTAGCTTCTCTTCAGGTTCCTCACCCAGCAGACAGAAGAGAGGAGCCAAACCCAACTGCATTCCTCTCAGAAAGCCAGAAATTAAAAAACTACTTCTGTGTGCTGATGGAGGCATTTGAGGCATAACTCTACACATGCAGTATTCCCAAAACTCAGGAAGGAGACTTCCACCTTTGCTACAAACCTCTCTTGGTGCCTCATCACTGGGTTCTTTGACCAACTTGTTGGTACCATGCAATGGCTTTAAGCACTTCAAGTACCAGCTGTCCTCCCTATCTTAGAGAGCATCTCTGTCCAGCACAGCACACCTGGAGAGAGCTTCTCCATAGCAGTGTTCAGAGTAAATCACAAGTTCAAACCTCTCTAAGATCACAGAGTGTGCTCTTTTTCCTGTTAACAGGGGCTGCCAGCTTATGCTGCAACTAATCTTGGAAGGAGAAACCAAAAGGAGATGCTAAAGTCAGGGAAGAAATGAGTGCAGTTTTCTAATTGAGGAGTGAAAAAAAAATCCAGGGTTTGTTCAAGAAAGGGTTTGAATGTTTGAAGGACTGGCAATTGTTGGATAACATTCTTTTTGCAAGCCCAGCTATGTTATCCTTGTCTTAGGGCCCCCTTGAAAGCCAGTGTCAGGAAGACTGGCCTGGTGGACTGAATGAATATTTGTCAATATGAATGGCCCCTGGGGACAGACAATGGTGTCCCCCCTAAAAGAACACACCCTGGGGGCTGCAGTGGTGGATAAAGAGTGTGGTCAGGCTTCTGCCCAAGGGAAACAATTTGCTGAATGTGAGAAACCTTCTGGCATCTGCACAGACTTAGATGATGTCGATTCAAGCCTTGAGGAGTTTGTTGTCTAAGTGGAACCAGCAGCGTGATTTGGACAACCACAACACAGCTGGGGATGATTCCATCCTGGGGAGGTGTGACCAACCTGGGGCCATTGTAAAACGGTTTCTGTGTGTATTTACTGTGTATTTTTGTGGCAGGTTTTCTTTTTCATAATTGAGTCTTCCTGAACAGCAGTTGGATGGTTCAGCAAAGAGAAGAATTTGTACTAAAAATCACCCAATATACCACTAAGTGGGGAGGAATCCTGGATAGCACTAGGGGAACTTCCAAAACTGGTGTTTACCTTTGCTTTGCTTTGCTTTTAGCAATCCAATTTCTCTTTGTGAGCTGTGTGTGTAGAAGGGATAATATAAACTGAGTTTATCACAGCAGCAGAGCTGGAGCAACTCCAAGTACATTGGTCTATACCCTGGAAATAGGAGACTGCTTATCCAATTATTTGCAGCTTGTTTTCAAGGGAAAAACGATTGACTTGAGTCCTGCACAGGGTAAAATCCTGTTAGAGTATGTCATTTTGTCCTTTGGAGTGGGATGTAGTCCCAGGTTTCATGAGATGTTGTTTAGCCTCCTGGGATTGTTGAAAAGCTGCTGTGTCAGACTGGGGATTTTTAGTCTTCAGATGAGAAAGTATCTCTGTTGGAGTGAGAGATGAGGCTTAAGATAAACATGATGAGCTTTATCTTCCTGTCCCAGCCCTTTTCACCCACTGCCATGATTAAATTTGTGAGAAGAGTCACAGTAATAAATAAACTATACATCATTGAGGTGAAAACTTGCAGGAGGGAGGCATTGAGTGGTACAGAGATACAGGCACACTTGACAATGAAACAAAGAGACAGACTTTGGCTGAACATCAGGAAAAACATACTGAGAGTGAAATAAATTTGGCTATAGGACAGTTCCCAACAACAGTAGCAGCAGCCCTGTTACCCAGACTAATTTTAAACATTCCTGTAGGCATCACTCCCATCTGGGTCTGGTAAGAGAAGATGTCAGTCATATGCAGAGTTTGAAGATTTCACCTTTTCTTTTGCCCAAGGTTTTGCATGATTTTTTTTTTTTAATCAATGGAGATAATTTCTTTCCATTTGAACCATTCGCTTTGTTTGTAGCAAATTTAAAAAGAAAAAATAATTTTGGTAAGGTGAGGACAAGAGAAGTCTTCAGCTGTTTTAATGTGGCTCTTCCTTTAAAGGAGTTTGGAATCAGCCATAATCAGACCAGATTTTTGCACTAGGTAGCAGAATCAAAAGGAGCTGGAGGAAGATATTAAAATACAATTTTCTCTCCAGTCCCTATCACAAACCTGCATCTTCTGAGGTATAGGTGGGTCTGCACGGACTGGTAGCATCAGATGCTCCCTGCCCTCATACAAACCAACCAGAAAGGAGTAAGGAGTCAGGAACAATGTTTGACCAGTGGTGAGGATACTCCACATCAGCCACAGCCTTCTCCAAATTCTTGCTTCTTCGTTCTGGCACTTTTTTTTTTTCTTGTGGCCAAAGTGAATCCGGCATGAAAGCCCTGTTACTCATGCACTGGGATTAAGCCCTGATGAGAAGAGGTGTGAAAGGTAAGGAAAAGATGGTGCAAATGACTCAAGCCCTCCTGTGTGGGCAGCCTGAGGGCATCCCGGGCTGTTGGTTGGGAGGGCATGGAGCTCCTCCCTGGGCTCCTGGCCACCTGGAGGGGCTGGATGGTTTTGTGTTTGCTCCCTGGCTTAGTCTCTCATAACATGGTTTGCAGCACATATTTTGTGACGTGAGAATGTGCTCTCTGTTCACTTCTAATGCACCTGTTGGTCCCACAAACAGGCCTGCCAATTAAACACAGGAGTCAAATCCCACAAGGAGCTTGGTTGCCTGTGCTGGAAGATGTATGTATGTAATAAATGGTGTTATGAAGTATACACCCAAGCCTATTTATGGGTTACCATATGAGAGAGAAAGCAGGGTCAGAGTACTGAATAGGCTCAAATAACATATGGATTTATATGCTAGATCCACCTTCCAACCCTTTATTTCATCTTGGGCAAGTTATTTAGCTTCTCTGGGTCTCAGATCTTCTACTGAGTACATCTGGGGCAATAAAAAAATCCTTGTCTGTTTTTTCTGCTCTGGTTCCTCATGCTCAGAAAAAAGGAATTGTCTCTCTGTGCACACACTTGATTTTGTCAGGATTTTAACCTACACTCAGGTGTTGCTGTTGCATTTCTGCTTGTACTCTTGCAGACCAGAGATGATTCAGAAGCAAAAGCAGAGTTACTCCTTCTAGCTCCCTTTTATGTTTCATCGTTGGTACCTCCTCTCACAAGTAAGTGAGCTGCATTTTACTCATCAGATCGGAGCTAAACTTTGGTTTCCATGGAAGTCAGGTACCTCTGAATTCAGCAAAGTCCTGCTATTACTCACCAGGAGAAGGGCAGCCAACATTGTACCTCAGCTGTAGCTGACAGGCAATTTATACGGGACGAATCCCTTAGCAGTGGACTTCAGCCTTTCCTGAAATCTTATCCCTTGCCTCTCCATGCGAGCTGGCTGCGTGGAGCAGCTCGTTCCAGACAGATGCTGACAACTGGAGCTGAGTGGTGCTGAGGGAACGTGACACAAAGCTGCAGCAAATGTATTAATTGCGTTGCTTGGGGAGGGCTGGATTCTTTCCCCTGCCCCTCCTTCGTCTCTGCCAAAGCTTTGTGTGTGCTGGGAGCCTTGCTGGGTTTTTCTCATGTACGGTAATTAACTAACACAGCCCCGAGTTCTGGGCATCTGCTTCACATCCCGGGAAGGTGCCGTTATTAACCCGAAAGGATTTGATACCCTCCTGCTGTGTCCCATTTTCTCTGCTCTTGCCCGGTCCTTCTATTTGATTCAGCCTCCCAGGTCCATTAAGATCTTCACAGTTGCCCATGCACAAACCTGACAGGCTCATGGGGAGATTCTAAAATGATGCTGGTTCAATTAGCAGGATATAATTTGCCCTTTGGTGAAACCCTGGGCTCCCCTGCCAGGCTAAGCACTCGCTGCCAGAGCACTTAGCCCAAGGAGGAGCGTTCCCATCACATCTTTCTCAATGGCAGGTCACAGAAACCATGAACCCAAGTAGCTGCTGTAAGAAAGGAATTTTATTTTTATCCCAATTTTATTTTTCCTCATGAAATGAGTTTTAGAGAAACCAGAAAGCCCAGCTTGGATATTCAATGTGAACAAACCAGCTGGCAGCTGTAGTTTTTATTTTAGCCTGGGAATCCTGCTGGCTATATTTTTTTCTTCCTTCCCCATGAGCCCCTCTTGCAATTTGAGTTGTTCTGCCCTATAGGTCACAGACCAGTTTGCTATACAATTTTCTGTCTCTGTGTTGATCAAATGCTTTTCTGAATGGTTTGCTGTTTGCTGTGGTTGTTAACCTCCTGAGTACTCAGTCTTACTTCTCTCTCTCACCTCTGAGATGTGCTGAAATACCTGAAGGGATACCAATATCAGATCATGCATATTCATAGTGGTTATTCCCCATTCAGCTGCACGGACAACAATTTTCACATGTTCACCAAAAGCAGATATGAGTCAAATCTCTAGTGAAAGTGATACTCAGGATGGGGGGAGGGAAGGAGAGTCGAGATAAAATTTGGGTTTTTTTTCCTCAGCCTTCAGCCACTTTGGACAGTAGCTGTTCTCAGGAGATCTTTTGTCAATTAGCAATGGGGTGGATTTCTGTACTTTGATGGTGGAGCTTCTCACACTGGAGGAGGTCTTCTGGAGAGATGGTGTGGAAAAGGCTGGTGGCATCTGTCCTGCTGGGGCAGGGAGGAAGTTTGGCCAGAACCACTCTGAGAGTAGTGCCAGAGTTTGGTCTGGTTGCACTGGGTCTCTCACACGGTGGGAAAAACCTGCCCTTAGCTCCAGTCTTGAGGAATGCTTTTTTTTTTTTTTTTTTTTTTAATTTAATGTTACTTCTCTTTCCCAGGAGACTTCCTTGGGTTTATAAATGACTGCATTTCCCTTTGGCATGACAGCTGCAGCTTCACCTCTTCTCGTGTGAACCTGGAGTCAGGTCAGGCTAAAATGCTGAATCCTTCCTTTCTCCTTCCCGTGGCTCTCTGGCCCCCTCCTTCCCTTCCCCATATCAACAGCCTGTACTGCCATAACCTGAGGATTAGCTTTTTCCCTGCAGGACTGAGCTGAAACTCAAGCGCTTTACCGAGCAAAACAAATCTCTTCAATATTAGCAAGGCAAAGCAAAATGCTCGAGCACATGTGGTTTTTGTTAGCTGACTTCTCCCCCAGCCTCGTGTTTGGTCGCAGTGTCAAATTCCCTCTTAAATATGCTTAGGAGGTCACAGAAAGCAGGTGAATAGTCATACAATAAAAATCACATCACACCTCTTAAAAAAAAAAAAAATACATCCCCTCTTTCAGTCTTCCTCTCACTCCACCCATCCCTACACACAGTAGAGGCAAAGACCTGATTATGCACTTAGTGGGGAAAAAACTAGAAATTAGTTTTTCTAGCAGGTTGAAGCACAAGGATGTAGTTAACAGATCAGGTTGCTGCAGATGAAGTTATAGGGTGCCCAAAGTTAAGCAGGTAAATATAGGTCAGGCTCTCAGCTGACACACGTTGTCTTCCCTGGAGTTATTCCCCACAGCAGCACGGTCTGGTTCCAAAGGAACGTGCTGGTGCCAGCTGGGTACTTTTGGGAAATGTTTGTTGAGTAAGATGCTGAGGAGATGGCAAAGGTATGTGTGCAGAACACACCTCTGAGTGCTCGGTGCAGGTGTGAGCAGTAAAGCTTGGATGGGGTTTTTGAAACCATGACTCAGTTCCTTTAGGAAGATCAGATACTGGGTTTCTGTTGTGTTAGCAAGGGGAGCTGAGCCAGGGCCCCAACGCCCCCAGTGCTGCTCTACAGGTGGAAACCCACACAAATCTCTCCAATTGATTTGACCTTATGAAAGAAATTCTAATAAATCCTCGAGGTCCTGGTAATGAATTTTATGAGTCCCCCCAGCAAAGGCAATACCTGTGCTTTGGCAGATATATGAACCAACTCAAAGAAAGCTGGCTTGAGCACTAGAGACAGTGTGAGGAATGTTTATGAGTTAAGTCTCTCAATGAACCCAGCAGCATTGCCTGAAGAATATTCATTCATTTTACAGCCTAGATAGACACTTGTAACACCAAAGAAGCTGTGGATGCCTCATCCCTGGAAGTGTTCAGGGCCAGGTAGAATGGGGCTTGGACCAACTTAATCTGAAGGCACCCATGGCAGGGGATTTGGAAAGAGAAGTTTGCACCTGTGGGTTTTATTCAGGTTGTTTGTGTGTTTACACTGATTTTAATGGCCGAAAGGTGACAGAGTGAAAAATAGAAATATTGAGGAAACTTCATTGTGTTCAACTCTGTGCTTGGGTATTTACTTCTCTCAGCAGGGCAGTAACATGTGAAAAGGTTTTTAACAAAAGATTGTCATAGCTCAAGGCCAAGACCTGCCTTTTGTTTTACTGAGCAATGTGTTTGACTCATATTTGAGGTACCTTTTGAAAGAGGAGCTGTCATGGTATGTGCAGGTGTGTATGCTATGAACCTTTGTATAAACTAGTGAATTTATTTGAGCTGAGATTTGTTATCGGAAGTCAGTCTTTGGGCTGTGAAAACAATTCTCTAAGATTATTCTGAGATAGGTTTTCCTGGCAATAAATATCCTGGTTTTTATCCTGATTACTTTTTTTTTGTTCTCACAGCCCTGCACTCTGCTCCTGAGTGTTTGGTGCTCTGTAATTTCCAGTTTTTCCTGATGTAAAATAGAGGATGAAGACAGCAGTTGAAACAATTGCGGTGGAGAAGGTTTTCAACCTCTGCTTGCTTGGCATACTGTGAGTCTTAAATAACATGTTTATAAAGTGGTCTGATGTGTGACACTCAGATGAATGCAAGTGTCGTTCAGAAGTGCACAGACCTGCAATTTATATAGTAAATACACCTTTCATGTTCAGTAAATTCAAAGTCAATCACCTCAGTATTTTAAGCCATAGCTGTGCAATTCTACTAATTAAAAAGTTGGGAGGCAGAAAGTTCACAGTAATTCAGCCTGTATCTCTCTGGGATTCTTTTGCCTATGAAAAAAGAAAGAAGCAAAGTTTTGGTGCAAAAAGGTTTGAACTCTATTTTTTAAAATTCTTTCATAAGTTATAAAATCCATGTAATTGCTTATAGGGACTCCTGGTGATTGTGATGATAGTGCTTAGAAGCTATTAATTTAGAGCTTTAGTCTCATAAATAGTAGATGGCAGTTTACTGCAACTTGCTAAACAGTGAGGGAAGCAGCCCTGGACCACTGGATTATTTCGGGTGTTCAGCAGAGACTGGAAAAGGTCTTTGTGGTGGTGAGAGGGGAGATGTGCTTGACATGTAAGTGAAGAGGTATGGGAAATATCTTTTGCCTCTGGAACATGTAGATGAAGTGCTTTCCTCCTCTTGAAAGGAAGTTGTAGCAGTAAAAAAAATGGAAGTGACAGGAATGAGTCTTAAAATTTCATTCCCTAGTGAGAAATCTGAGATTATTACTAACATCAACTTTTTGAAGAAAATCAATAACCTAGAGCTATCTATTTGAAAGCATAACAGAAGACTGTCTATAAGGGTAAAAAAACCCAAAACATTCACAGGTAGCAGCTGAAGAGAGTGGTTTTAAAAAATCTTTCTTATTTTTGCAATGTTTTACCAGTGAAGTTTGCTATTAGAACAAATTTGCTACGGTGGCAATATCCTTGCAGGGAAATGTTGCTTATATCCCATGTGTTTGTTTTTCCTAAAAATCTAATTTTCTATTTCAACCAGGAGCAGAGTGCAGAGATCTGCACAGCACTATGGCAGCAAGTGAGGTCACAATGAAACACCCATGCAGCCACATCATGCTTTAAAGATCTGAGAGGGTGAAGCACAGCTCAGCTGGATGCTGTAACAAGAAGTTAAATAAATAAAGAAATAAAGATAAATTACCAAGAAAAAGTAAAATGTTCCCTACACACCAGGAGTAAAAATGCAACAGTGCCCTGTCCCTTCTGAGCAGCCTCAGGAGAATGAGAGAAGATTTTGTGTGGACTTTGGATAATTCTGCCTTTTGCACTGCAGAAGCTGCCAAACCTGCTCCAGCTCAGCTCCTCTGAGGGCCTGGGACATCCACCAGGGGTGGGGACAGTCAAATGGTGAAATGTGCCATCATGGTGGGGCAGGAAACTGGCTGTGGAAGTGTTGATGGCTTTGATCCACTTGGGAGCAGTCACACAGGATGCCCACGTGTTGTTTGTTAATCACAGGACAGGAGCTTGGCAGCAGCAGTGAGTGGAGGATGTAGTGAGGTGGAGAGGCTGGGGAGGATGAAAGACAGATCTGCCCACTCAGCTTGGGAGGATGGGGCTGCTCTGGGAGACAGTCCTGTTTCTCTTAGCACAGCTGCTCAGTTTTGATACTCTACTGCCTTCTTTTATAATGAGGTTTTGGATTTAGACCTTTCTGTCTCATTGTCACATGTCTTTCACTTGTCTTTGTGTCTTGGGAGCTTGGTGAGTGAGGCTGGGTTTGGAGAAGGACCTGCTGTGATGATAAATAAGGTACAACCAAAGCCATGGGCCCCAGATAATAGATGCTCAATTCTGCAGGACGCACCAGTTTGGGCAGTTTAATTTCTAGCCAGTTAAAGACCCTGCTTGTGAAAAATGACTTCCCATTCCCAACCTTATAATGAAAGTAAAATAGTGGGAAGACAGATGAGTTAGCACTCCTAGAAATCTATTATGTAGCTGGGTGAGAAATAAAACAATTTGTCTCCCCCTTGACTGACTTTTCTTACACCAAATAAGTGTGTAATTGTCTTAAACCCCGAATAGAGAGCACAGTCTGGAGGGGAGAGGTTCTTATATTTCAGCTGGCTCCCAGCTGTTCAGCTGGGGAGAACAAGGTTGCGTGTGTGAAGGGAATGCACTGGGAACCCATTTCTCAGAGCTGTGACCCTTTTCCTGTTTGTCAGATGCACTGATTATCCGGAATTCGTTTTCTTGCTAAGTATTGTGTGAGATTCTGGCAATACAGCTGCCTCTGAGCCCAGAAGGAGTCCTCAGCTGGCTGAGGCTTGGGTGGACAGTGTGGGATTGTGCACTCTGTGAACAGCAAGAGGAGCTGGCTGGAGCCATGGAACCCAGAGCTGCATCTTGGATGTGACAGTGGTGGGGCAAATGCACTCAGGAGCCAAAAGATATAATAACCCAAGCAGTTATTGCTATTTTAAAAATGTGCATAATATATATAATTATATAATACATTAAAAAGTATTTAAATATATAATTTTTTACTCTCTTTTAAAATTGCTGAAACAAAGCAAAGGAATTTTGTGGGAGTGAGACTACTTTTTTCTGGGTTTACTGCAGCTAGGTATGTTGTTCCTTCCTTACATCATGTCTTGAAGTGCTAATTCTGAATGCTCTCCATGTAGATTTTGAACCCTTTTTTACCGTGCATAATATAGGCTCAATTTTAGAGCTGGACAAGGCAATGTCTTCCCCTTAATGAGAGAGATGGATATCTCTCCTGATGGTACTGGAACTGATGGAGTTTGGATCAGGAAGTGAAAGAGACTTCAGGAAGTATCAAGAAGCCAGCTTTTCAGCACATGGCTTGAATCTGACCCTCTGAGTTGCTATCTTTGTAAATTATTTTTTAAAAAATGACCAGTTTTATTTGAAAAAGTGGGTTTTTTTCTCAGTATGAGGCATGTGAAATTCAGAGACTATTAGGTCTCTAAGTTTTGTCCAGGGGCTAGCAGTGCTATATCTTTCAACTCAAGCTTTCAAAACAATCAGTCGTTTATTGTGTTAGGACAGATTTCTCCTTTCTGAGAGCAGAAACTGTGTTTTAATAGCAATGTTGATAGTAATCTTTTTAAAAATTTGAAGTTGTGGTATGGAGAAATTCAGAGCTCTTAGCACAGTGCAAACTTTTGTAGTTATATCAATGAGCTCCCCTGTTGAGAAGGGAATGACCAAAGGCTCTGTATCATCTCTGCCCCCTTTACATAATCCCAGTGGTGTGGAAAGTGGAGTTGCTGCCCAGAAATTAGCAAACAACTCACAACAATGAAGGCACAATGAAACACACTGAGCACACAGCCAGGGAGGAAGTTCAGGTTTGTGTAATTTGAAAGGAGAGGAGGCAAATCAGGAAGAAACACACCCTTGAAAAACCTGGGGGTGTGAAAGGGATTTCTGTGCTTTTCTCTCTGCTGCAGGGGTGAGCTGATAGCCAAGAGCAGGCTTTGTCCTGCTGTGGCTATTGTGAGTGTGTGAAACCTGCCCAAATCCTTTTGGGACTTTACTTTTGGGGAATGTTGAGTCTTTCTTGTCTCTGAAACCCATCTGAAGTCACAGCTGATGTGACATCCCAGCTCTGAGCCATGAGGTTGCCCAAACCCATGGCAGAGAACAGGAGGGAGCAAGGCTGCTTTCAGAAGTACTCAAGGATGGTTTGGGAGCATTCTGCTGACATGGTGGCATTGCTTTGGGGAGGGCTGTCCTGTTTGCATTTGCCCTCTGTGGATGGATTTCCTCCTGCTCTGTGTCTTCTTGCCTGAACCTGTCTTGTCAAGATTTGATTGTGGCTTAACTGTGTGAGACTAAGCAGGGGAAGCTGTCCCCTGAGCATCAGGCAGCAGGGCACAAGTTCATCCTTTACTCGACCTCCTGTGATGATCCAGCTCCTGTTTCAGTAAAAACTCACCAAAATGAGTTTGGCCAAAGTGTAGAGGTGTGTATGGAGACACTTCTGTGCCTGGGGTCTTTGCCTCCAGTTTGCTGCCAGCCCTGGTGCAGGAAGGATTGGGTTCCTTGGCAGCTCTGGCCTTGGTGCTCCTCCACACACGTGCAAGGTGCAGAGTAAATGACTGCCTGAGTGGCAAGGAGCTGAAAAGTACACGTGGTTTGGAGCCTGGTTGGATTAAAGAAAAGCTAAGGACAGATATTTACATGGAAATGTCAATAAACGTTTTCTTCAAGGTTTTGACTGGCCCACTGGTAATGTATTCCCAATGAAAACAAATTGGTTCATCAGTCAGCCCAGTGTCTTTGTCAGTCCTGAACTCCATTTTAAAATAACATTATTTTAACATGTTTTAAAAGCACCTTTTCCTAACATGATCCAGAAGGCTGTGTAAAAACAACTTGGAATAATCTTGAAAACCATAGAGGGCCAAGCCAGAGAAAAGAAGCCAACACCTTTGGGCAAAGAAAACCAGAAAATCTGAGGAGAAGGGAGGCAATATATTTTCATGGAAAAAATCTACCTCTAAAACAACATGCTCTCCAGAAAAGTTATATTTTTTCCTTGAGAATTCTCCATGTAAAATGAATGCAATGCTGTATATATTTTTTAGTTTTCCCTATATATCTATTCAATTTTCTCATTGAAATAATATCCCATTAACACCTAAAGCCAGCAAGCTTTTGTCTTTGGAGCTCCCTCAAATAATAATCTTGGTTATTCTATTAATGAAATATTAGATTAGGGAGTTTGGGCTAAACATATCATAAAACAACAGCAGTGTGCAGCTCAGATCCCAGTTTTATTTTTCTGTGATTGGTTAGCCCATGAATTGAGGACACCAGGTTTTTAAATTCCATGTTCTTGATATATCCTTTAGCAGTGTCTCCCAGTCTGTGGGAAAACACAATCATGTGAGGCCACTGCTGAAGGAATGCTGAAGTAAAGCACAGCTCAAGAAGAATCTTTTAAGAAAATGGTAACTGCAGTTTGTGTCAGTCCTGTTCTGAGCCAGCTGACACCTAAATGACTGACAGAGCAAAGAT